GAGAACTGCGATTTGACCCTGAGATTCTTTCTCTCTGTTAGTCTGTGAGTGATAAGATAAAAGACACAGTTTAAAAAGAAAGGGCAAAGAAAGACTATTGCTTGCCAGGCCATTTGGTGGAAACTCAAACAGAAAATGCTTCCCCAGAAATTACATATTTACTTGGAAATAAGTTTTATTTGGCCTTCTCGTTTAATTGGCACCTCCCAACAGGAATAAGTCTGTAGTCAGTAACAAAGCACATGCTTTGGCGTAGTGAACCACAGTGATCCACACAGAAGGCCCAAGGGTGAATTGCTAACATGGTTCAACAAAACTGGAAAACTCTACTGCTTGCAAGTAATGAGTTCTAAGGAATATTTTATTTATTGCAATGGCTTACAACTGCAAATGAAACTTCCTGAAAAGTAATGATATATGTTTTGAAGGAAGTAGTCTGCATTCGAAAGAGTGCTGCCCTTTCCCTCAAATTGATGGGCAGCAATAGTGACTTGTTTCTAAGAAGTCAGCAGGAAAAAAATATACTATGTAACTACGTTAGTTACCTGAAAGCATTAATTGGTAATGAGGGCGTAATAAAGTTACATTTCAAAAGTTGCCATGAAAGCTATGAAAAGTAACTCAAAAGAAACAAGACATGGAGCAAGTTATTCTTGAGTATTGTAAGGAGAAAATAACAAAAAGTTGGTTTTTTTAAAAATATGATGAAAATGAACAGCAAGAAGATGTTTCAAAATAACTCCCCAAGCCCTGGAAAAGATTCTTGTCTGGAACCCAAGCAAACCTCACCAGTCTATGTACTGGACAATACATTACCTTCCTATATTACTATGAAAGAGAATTCCACTTCATCAGGGACCTGTTATATGTATTCTAACATGGGAGAGACGAGACTGGTGGCTACAAAATCAGCAGCAGCATTTTGTAGGAGCATTCCAAGTAAAATGTATTCTCAAAGGCTTTCACGGCCAGGATCTGATGGTTGTTGTGGGTTTTTTGGGCTCTTTGGCCGTGTCCTGAAGGTTGTTCTTCCTTAGGAAGAACAACTTTCAGAACATGGCAAAGAGCCTGAAAAACCCACAACAACCATTCCAAGTCAAGTTGATAGGTCAGCAGTGGAGATGGGCGTGAACTTTAGTTCGGAGGTTCGTGCCATTTCTTAAGCCACACGTTCCCTTCTGCTGCTCCCCAGCAGGATCCCAGTGGGTGCATGCTCCTCTCTGCCTCCTCTTCAGCTGTTTGTCCAGTCCCTGACAGGAGCACAGGGTTCCCTGCCCCACCTCCTTGGTTGATTGCCCACTCAGACAAGGAGGCAGGACAGGCAAACCTGTGCTCCTGTCGGGGACGAGTCAAACACCTGGAGAGGAGAAGGAGAGGAGCACGCTCCACCTGGTGAGCGTGGTCATTGGCTGGGGAGGCAGGAGAAGAAGCCAGCACGAACCTCAGCAGTATGATGGCTCCTGAGATTTCAGAGCCTGGTCTCCTAAGACTAGGAGGTAGACCCTTCTGATGTAACAAAGACAAGACTATGCAAAGAAGCAAGGGGCAGGCAAGGAGAGGTGTCATATTTTTAAACAAAATCTGCACCACCACCCCTCTCTCATCCAGGCAATTTGCACTGTTGCTGCCAGGACTCATGCAGGCAAAAGTCACAGCATTGTCGCCTTTCCCCCTGCTTTTCTAGAAATTTTACTTTCTTGGGCTCCATGATCGCTGCAGATGGTGACAGCAGTCATGAAATTAAAAGATGACTGTTTCTTGGGAGGAAAGTGATAACAAATCTAGACAGCATCTTAAAAAGCAGAGACATCACCTTGCCAACAAATGTCCGCTTTACTATTTTGCTAAAGGAAAGACCAAGGCAAAGTCTTGGTGTGAAAAGCGAAGGGTCTTCACTTTCCATCCTCCTTTCTGCCAAATGGACAAGTTCTACCTCTTCCAGAAAGCTTGGATTAGGGTAGACTAATTACATCTACCCCATGGATACCCTGGACTGACAGAAAGATGAACAAGTGGTTCCTAGATAGAATCAAGCCTGAACTATCTCTGGAGGCAAACATTTTGAAACTGAGGCTGTTCTACTTTGGGCACCACATGAGAAGACAATGATGCTGGGAAAGGTGGAAGGCATAGGAAAAAAGGAAGACCAAATACAAGATGCATGGACTCCCTAAAGGAACCATACGCTGGAGTGCAGAAGAGCTGAGAGGGTCTGTTGAGGATGGGACATTTTGGAGCTTGCTAATTAATTCATTGGGTCACCAAAAGTTGTGGCCAACTTGACAGCATGTCATCATAGGCATCCTTCAGTCTCGAGAGACTATGGTAACATGCTCTGAATCGAGGAGTGTCCTCTCCAGAGCATGAAGCCCGGGTAAGGTAATATGGAGGATAGGCTGTTACCCAAGCAGCAGATCCCCCCTCTCCACATTGCTGAAATGGTCCAATGGAAAGGCAAGAGCCAATAC